CCCCTACAAACTTCTAAAGCCCGTCAGCTGTGGGCCTCGGGTTTCATGGGACGCCGCGCGCCGACCGTTTCTTTTGTCCACAATTTCACAGTGTCTGATGCCTGTCCCCTACGGTACCTCACTTTTCACGTTTGATGTGAAAACTGACCTCTGCCGCTCTGCGTTGATCTGCACCCTTTTTTCTCCGATTGTCAATCTTTGCCCTCAGGTGGTCAGCTGCAATGGGGTCCAGTTTCACAATCGGGCCTCAGATGGTCAACTGCCTCCTCAGGTGGTCTAGAGCCCTTTTGATAGCAGAAGAGGCATAAATGGACAAAATTCAGAGCCCTTTTGATAGCAGAAGAGGCATAAATGGACGAAGTTCAGTCCTTCAATGTTTTTTCCTTTCCTTTTTTTTTAAGTCCTTTGTTGGATTCTACCTGCGCCATCTTTAACCTTCCCATAATCACACTGTGTAGGTCTTGGGGCTTTCCAAACTCGTCCGTATGTGGCGACCGCGGACAAACTAAACCGTCGCAAGATAGTGGATTGGGGGTAGCGGGCAGGGGAGGAGTCCCAGTAGTCTTTTTTTTTTTTTTTTTTTTTTTTTTTCCAGGGGCCGGGAGGAAAGAGTGCTATGGGTTGGGCGGAAGAGGACAGAGTACGTAGCACGGTATTCTCCCGCCCGCTAGACTCTCCTCTCTTGCCCACTACAGGCAATCTACTGTCTTGCCACAGTGTCGTTTGCCTGTCCTGGCTACACACTAACGAGTTTTTCAAAGCGCAAAGACCTACGTGTAGCAATTGTGGAACAATCAAAGATGGTGCAGTTGTGGAACAATCAAAGATGGTGCAGGTGGAACCCAGCAAAGGACTGAGCTTCAGCTTGACCTCAAATTCCTTCACCCAACTTCTCCCCCTCCTCCCCCCTACACACACAAATTTCACAGGGGAAAACCCAGGTAATCCCCAAGGTCCATAACACTATTATAACCATCTCATTCCACCTGTTTCATCCACGGTTACATTTTCTTGTACCATCCAGCCACATTGGCTCGGTAAGCTGTGTGCGAGCCTCACTCTGAGAGTCTGAGTACAATTTCGCTCCTGCTACCTACCCTCGCTGCTGCTGCTGTCACTGCATCTGCTCCCGGTACACTCCGTTGCTGGCAGTGCAATTGCTGCTGGCAGTACAGTTGCTGCTGGTATACTTGGTTGCTGGCAGTGTGCTGGTCTACTTAGTTGCTGGCAGTGTGCTGGTATACTTAGGTGCTGGCAGTGTGCTTGCTGCTGTTACGGTTATTTGCTGGCGGTCCGCTTGCTCCAGGTGGAATTGCTAGTCATGATATGATACGAAGCTTCAAGCGCCACCCTTGCTTCGTGCGTTTTTGCTTAAACGTTAAACCTACCACCAGCCAAATTTGTTGTGTTGGAATTGACTGGCAAAAGGTCACACAGTTTGATACCATAATTAAATGTGTAAGCCTCCTGAACTTCATGAAGGAGACATCGCCTTGCTACCCTTGCTGCTGGCATTATACTTTCCACTAAGTCCTGCCAACAACAGTGCACTTGCTGCTGGGCCCTGCCGACAGAGCACTTGCTGCTGAGTCTTGCCGGCAGTGCGCTTGCTGCTGAGTCTTGTTGACAGTGCACTTGCTACAGAGTCTTGCTGACAGTCCACTTGCCGCTGAGTCCTGCCAACAGTCCACTTGCCGCTGAGTCCTGCCGACAGTCCACATGCCGCTGAGTCCTGCCGACAGTGTACTTGCTGCTGAGTCTTGCCAACAGTGCACTTGCTGCTGAGTCTTGCCAGCAGTGCACTTGCTGCTGAGTCTTGCCAGCAGTGCACTTGCTGCTGAGTCTTGCCAGCAG